GGCAATAACGTCAACGGCATCAAGCACCCTGGAAGTGATTGCCATACTGCGTGTTTCATTCTGGATGCTTTTGGATGATTACTACTCCTCAAGAATAGCGTTATGTATGTCGTTCATTGAATAATCTAATTTTCAAAAATAACCCAGGCGAGTTCAACTATTTTACTGGATGATTTTTTTGTACTTAACATGTATATATTTTCCAGTTGCTTTTGACACATATTTGTAAATGTCCCTAGGCTAAATGCAGTAACTTCTTGTGGAATGTTTATAATGCGTCATATTCCTGCCTGAAGTTTCATAAGCAGTCTTATCTTTAAATTATTTTTCTGGTGATGTTCATTATTTTTAAATTGTCGTATACGTCAACAACCTGCATGTTAACCTGGCCCGTACATACGTTGCACTATATCTTCATGTCTTTTAAATTTAGAAATCATCTGAATCGCCTCTAACATCTATCAATAAACCCATCATAGTCGTTGTTGCTAATCGTATTTGGGTTTATGGATTGGTTTATCATATTAGCAGCCTAAAACGCGGACATAGCTTAGATAATAAAACTAGAAATTTAGAGACTATCAACTACACTAGTCAAATAACTAAATTCTCAGGTAGTTTTTGGCTGAATAGATGTTTAACATCAAAACTCTGGAGCCTACTAAAATTAACGCTTGACGAATACTTTCGAATTAAAATTTACAATATGGTAAGGTAGCTCTGATTCTTTAACGCTACAAATTTCTGATAATTTCGAATCACCTAAAGCAACAATACCTATATTTCCACTGGCTTATCCTCAATCAACACTATAACTAGTCAAACATAATAGTTTCAGGATTTCGTCATTAGGCATTGTCACGATTTGACAATCACGTAATATGATTGATGAAATTAATGAAATTATTAACAAAATCGGTCAGCAAATTGACCTATAATTATCACTAGTGTTGTTTTTCTTTTATCTTCATTCACTACAGGTGATTATAGTATGTTTCTCTATAGGTTGTTCATTCATTAAATATCTCAAAACCTTGTCAGTTTAACTGATGGTTTGGTGACACAATCATGCATGCAAATAATCAGTATAAGCAGTCGAGCAAATCTCCTGCAAACTGAAAATATTAATGTCGAATTTACCCCAACACTGACTAAGGTTCAAGTCATTATCATAGACATGAGTTGGGAGTGTACTCCCCCTGGTTACAACTTGTTTCCTCCCTGATAATCACATGAGCTTCACTCACTGTTAATTATCTTGAAAAAACTTATTTAGCTGAATACATCTTACAGCACATCACGTAGTAATGTAGCATATAGACTTAACTGATTTCAGTAACTTATAATCACTATATCTCAATTGAATCGTATTCCGCCTTATGATAAACTGCATACTTGCAACTAACTCGTATACATCATCAGCCGTCAGGTATAAATATGTATAAATAGTCTATGGCAACTCAGAATATTGAGTCTAGAGCATGTCTCTTACTAATACACTCATGTTTAACGATTTGTTCCTAGCTATCTGTCCAAAATTCATATAATTATCACTCACGTATTTAAATTTTGTTTTGATCAAGATTCATGTGTGTTAGTAGTATTACTAAATTCTAGTAAAAATGAGGTCGAGAAACCCCCCCGTGACTAAATAAACCTTATCAAACTAACCGGAACACTACTTGGAATTCTCCTCCACGGTAATACTTTTATTCCTTCAGTTAGCCTACTAATACAAATGCAATTGAAAATCAACTCACGGACAACTTACTAGCATGAACGTTATTTGATTTTATAATTTAAACCAAAACGAATACTAATATTAACATTTCTACAATATTGAATACTTTTAATATTTCTAAACACAAAATACAAACCACGTGTGAGTTAAGTTATTAACCAACGGCTATTAACACGCATCGTTTTATTATTACTATTGTAATCCCATTTTCTATAGCTCAAATAATCTTCACCCAAATTTTCATTTTAAGCGTGTTAAGCATGAAGGCAGGTATTTTAAAACTATCACAAATATTTCACGACTAGATGCTACCGCCTTTTTTAATTATCTTTCAGCTTATTATTGCCCGGAGGATTCTTACTAGTCTTGGTAACCTTCAGCGCACGACAATCCCATCCCATTCGGTATCGAACCAACATCACGTTAATTCTGGTGGGAGAGTAGTTTAGTGGCATTAGACTATAATCACACAATCCTCAAAGCTGAACACGAGACTACTCGGAAAATAGATATTCAATATTTAACGCGGAGAAATACCTAACGATGAGGAAGGCTCGAACAAGGAATTGAATGAATTGAAGTTAATCGGATGGCATGGCTTAGCCATTTATGCGTAGTCCCTCTGAATATTACCTTATATCTTTTATTCATATTAAATATATTGTTCTTTCTCTAGCCTAAGCTTGCTCTTCATCATGTATTGGTAGTTGTTACGATACAGTGAGTTGGTGTAGACGACGATGTGACTTCTACGTAAGATCTTATAGATTAGGCAGTTATATCATGACAAATCTACAATTTTAGGATTGGGTCTATTACTAGAGCAGTACTGATATCATAGTAGACCATAATTCTACAAACGTTCCCAGTTGTTTCTGGTCGCTATTCAACCTAATTGTGTTTGCTTCCAATGTTCGGCTTATTATGTTCTATGGTCTTCCTCTTTTCCATTTTTCTTCAGGGTTTCAAGTAAGCGATCGCCTCATGATGCACACCGATCATCTCCTAATCTCCTCTTTAGGTGGTAGCTGGTTTGTTCTCCCCCAGTGTAGGTTGTTGTTCATGGTATCAGACCAATGGATACTGAGCACCTTGCGTAAACAACTGTTGATAAATATTGTGCCCTTTTGATGATGGTTGTGATAATTCTGCAAGTTTTGGCTCTACACAGTAGAACTGCCTTGACGTTCGAATTGAAGATTGTGACTTTGATATAGGTTGGCAGTTGTTCTGAGTTCCGTATGTTCTAAAACTGTAGGAAGGAGGTCTCTACTTTACCAATCCTCGCATTTACGTCTGCAGTTTGGGAGCCAAGACCCTTTTACTCGGTCATACCACAGACTAGGAAGTGAGCTGATTTTACTCTATGGGATAATAAGAAGTGGTTCTGGGTCCAATACATCCTCTCTTTTTCTTCACATCAGATCAGGGCAATTCAGAGTATAGTACAGACGAGTACAAAGGCCAAGACTGAACAAAATATTCGTTTCATACAGGTTTTCACAATGAGTCACCAATTATTTGGGTTTGTTACCCGCCCATTCAATTGACTCATTCAAGAGTAAGCTGAACAGGCTCAGAAGCTTAATAGAAAATGAATAACACAGGTCGTGGTTCACCTGTCCTCAATACATAAATCTGAGTCCGCATATGATGACCCTGAATTCCACTACTGATTCTTGAACCGTTAGCATTTATAGAGGTAAATAAATATCCAAAATAAATAGATCTGTAAGTCTTCGACGTATGATGCTGACTTCATCAGTTCTAATGGACGTACATACTCAATGAACAAATATGCTTCCAAAATGACATTTTATGTAACTGTGAAAACTTATTTAAGCAAAAATTTAAAAAGCAGAGTGGAAATATAAGTGTAAAACAAAAATGAGATTACACATATCATGCAATGAAGAATTTTGCATATGAACTGAATTCATATCATAGAATCAGAAACGTTAATTATCGCAGTAACAAGGTAAGAAACACTATTTCGACAACAGTGAAAACAAACATTATATCCAGTTGCCACTGGATATATCTGGATGTAAACCTGCCACACTACCATAGTGTACTCATCGACTCGAGCAAACGGAGGTCAGTAGACGGTGATACTAAATTATCTGTTTGTGGAATTTCATTTACTGGTTGTAAATTATCCCCAGTAACTGTTAGGCAGATAATCGACCCTTTCGACCAGTGGATACTCGAAAATACCCCAGACTGTAACAAACGAGATCAAAAAACCGTGCGTAACCAGAAAAGTTACATACCGCCTCAGAACTACGGGAACACCTGTAAATTCGAAAGCAAACTGACTAGCTCCAGAACACCTAAGGTTGGCTAGAAATGAATCCAAGCGCATTGTAATTATTCGGTCGTTGAACAGCTCATGAGCATCTCTCTTGCACACGATTCCTAAAAGGGACATTATTGATTGACGTTCAACTAGTAATCATCAACGACAGAATACGATAACCATTGTCGATTGTTACCACTTGCCACACGTTCACGACCTGATAGCTGCCTCAAAAGGTACAACTGTCTTTCCGAAAATCGACTTGGTTAGAACATACAACCAAATTCATATGTCTGCCGACGACATTTCCAAAACCACCACTGAACTGCACATCTCCTATGGGACCCTTAAAAGACCAACATCGTGGAAACGTGAAATTTATCAATTCAATAAAGCACTCCACACAGTTAAGGAAACTGTTGCAAAAGCAACTGTGCTCGCGCACCAGGACATCAAAGTACCCATTGGTATAGCAGTAGACTCATCCGACTCGGGAATCGGAGGAGATTTACAACGATCGATAAGTGAAAACCGGAAATTTTTTAGCATCCTTCTGAAGACGGTTGCAAGGTACCGATTCGGGGTATGGCACATTTAATAAGGAACTCATGGTCGTTCGTTATGCTGTACGGCACATTCAACACTATGTGGAAGGACGAAAGTTCACGCTGTTCACTAACCATAAACCTCTCAAAGTCTCTCCGAGCCCGTCATTCGACAAGTCCTCCCTTGGACAGTCTCTACAACTATACTACATTTTGTAAGGTCAGGTTTCCAGAACACTTGAACGACTGCTGAGCATAGGAAGCTGCATACCATTTTCTTAAATCTCGCTCATTCGTATTAATGTGTCAAGAAAAACAAACATGCTTTTTTTCTTGTGTGCTCGTATATGCGTATATTTCTCTTTCTAAAAAATACAAAGAATAACTGTTATGTGAAAGTGTTTTATTACGCTATCAACCTTGTCGATTGTCTGAACTCAAGGGCGAATCTCTAGACCTGTAGTGTGCTTGGTGTACTTACTCTAGCAACTGTCCTCAGTATTTATTACTGTCATGGTAAGTCGTTGTGGTTCAAGTATAAATTTTGATTTATTGAATCTCATAGCATGGTCTATTACTCACCAGAATAAACTGGTAGAATAAAATCATTTCGAAGAAATCTTACTGAAAACTTGTTGGAGGTTTTTTTAAAATACTATCGAAAACCTGTATATGTAATGCTGTGGACTTTATCCCTCGAATCCACACATTTTATAAAAGTCGCTGCAGGCGAAAACAGGACTTTAAAAAAAAAGAAACTCAGAATTTCCATTGCTTTTATAAAGGCACAGTAAACGTATAAAATCACTCTTCCATATATTCAGTGACGTTGGAAGAATCTCCTGATTCTCAAAAGGAAACGTCTCTCCTTAAAGTTCAGAAATCTAGATCGTTATAACATCTTTTTCCCTCATTTGTGCCTTTATAAATCTGGTCGTCTAGTAACTTCAAAAAGTTAGCTGTTGCTTATATCATACCACTTCATTGGTACCTGATATAAAAAATAGGCGGTCCTGACCAGATGGCATATTATCTACTTACGAGAAACAATAGTTATGTTATCAAAGTAGTCTTGCAGTCAACACTAGAAGTACCTAACATCTTATTTATGTTAGGCTGTAACAAGAAGTATCGTATCATAAATGTCGATATATTTAAATGAACCGAACACATGCAAAACATCTCACGTAAATTCCTCTTACATTGCATTGTGAAAAGTAAAAATAATTTTTAGCATTGCTTCTAACTTAGATTGATAGCACTCTTGAAAAATAAAATATTGGTCAATGATATGACAAAATTATCAATATTTATATCTCTTTGATCATAAGCATCTGAAACAATACGCCGGTTAAAGGAATAAATGAAAAGGGAAAATACTCCATAGATTAGTAAATATCATGAAGCCTCATCCCCAGGCTTTGTTGACGCGATACATGTATCAAGTGTGAATGTGAACTTAAGAAAATAATGTTTACCTGGATAGTTTGCACGGAAATTTTTGTGCAAAATAAGTGACTTGCTGTAAATTCAATTAGTACTTTAGAAGCCTGTTGAAAGTGTTTATTAATTGACAAATTTTACATAAACCTACGAACTAGAAACATTAACATAAAAATATTAAGCATATAAAAATATAATAAACAGTCTTGACTGATTTAATACTTACATTTTCTTTCGATACTAGCCCACGTTTATTTTATCTCTCACATAGTGCATTAAGCTTTAACTATCGAAATACTTGACCTGTCAAATGTCTCAGATAAGGAACAACTTTTGAGCCTAGAACACAAGACACCTGGACAGTAGTGTTTGCTGTGTCTATAACTTACTGTAAATCTTAATGGGAGAATCTGTCCTTATTAATACCCAACTTGTTGTCTGTCCCGTAGAGAGCATGAATAGTTGCAAGTTCCAGTAGCATTGTGTAATCAAAAATTAGTTTTGCTGACTTACAAAAATCATTTTCAGTGACCACTGACAATTTTGTAACCTTATTTGCAAAAAATAACAGTTACAACTCACAAACTGACCAGGGAGTTTTGATCCTTTCATGCAGTTTCTATCGTACGCAGTTTTTCTGATGTCTGAAGTGGAACTTCCAAAGCACGTGATCCATGCTGGATGTGTTTTTTTAATTTCGATGAGTGAGCCTTAATATAAGCGGTCAAATTATTTATCTGATTTGATAAATCACTGATGACTGACATCATATCAGTGGTGGTATGATAACCCTGACACTTGTAAGCACAAAAATAGGCCTCAGTACAATTTACTCGGTGACCAGGTTCTCTGATGTACATCCTATCAGTGATATCAAAATATCGGTTTTGGAAGAACTAATTTATAAGAATACACCAAATGAATACTTTGTGACTAGTGAAAATTGACCCGTCAAGTTATCAACACTATGAAAATCAACCGAAAAGTATTCAGCCTCCAACTCTTTTGATGTGTACATATAGTGAACATGATTTTTACTTGTCTGACAACCACTTTATATTGCATATAACCATTCTACCTCAGATACTTTCTAGATTGACATAGTAACGTATCATCATCAGTGGTATTGATCGTATAGTAAGTGAGGATTTCTGTCAATGTTATCTTGAAATCGATAATTAATTGGAAATCACCTGGAAAAAATATTTTGTGTTTCCACAACTAGTTACAATAATATAAACTGTATATGCGCAAAGATCAATCAGCATCGAGACTAATCCTACCCATAGTTTCTTTTGATACCACACCCTCTTTGTATACGTAAGTGCTTGCTGAACAGCCAGATGCTGGGTCCTACAAACACTCATTTCTCCATGACGTTGATAATGACAAGATTTTAGTTGGTGCTTAAAGGAAAATTTAATTGTGTTTTGAAATTTAAAAGTTACATTTGAAAACTAGAAAACATTCACTTGATATTGTTTTACTTGAATTTTCCCATTGATGTTTTTGGACTGAAATTGATCAGTCTCTTATTGGCATATGTGCATACTGTGCGTATGCCTCGATATTGCCTAAATTTACAAGCATTATAAGCAAAGATGGATAGTGGCTAGCAGTGGAATCCAGGACGCGCGTTTCGTCCTGTTTGGGACTCGTCAGCTGGATGTACCTGCATCTCAGAGTTGATGTTCACTCTGGGACTCGAACTCAGTACCGTTCGCTTCAAACGCCATCGCGTTATCCACTTAGCTACTGAGTGGCTATCAGGACTCAGTAGCTAAGTGGATAACGCGATGGCGTTTGAAGCGAACGGTACTGAGTTCGAGTCCCAGAGTGAACATCAACTCTGAGATGCAGGTACATCCAGCTGACGAGTCCCAAACAGGACGAAACGCGCGTCCTGGATTCCACTGCTAGCCACTATCCATCTAGAAAACATTGTTGATAACTCTAACTTGTGAAATAGGCTGCCATTATCTAAAAGTGTTATCCGATATGTTAGACAGACATAATCAACTTACAGCCTGCTGTATGTGTTAATTCACGTCATTCGGTCTATAACCACTAATCTCGCTTATTACGCAGATCTCAGTCAGATAGTTTGCATCAACTGACATGGCTCAACCTAACAGCCAATGACTTCGTAGACTGATGTCGCTTTTTGATTTGTCTGTTTAGCTTTCTTCTAACCTGTTTTTACACTAGGCTGTGGTTAGGCATGCGTAACTATCCATCTTAGTCATTGAAAATTCACTACCTCATCAACCGATTTATGAATTACCATATACTTAACCCTAGCGTTGCTCACTCGGTCGTTTCGAAAAACACGAATATTACTTCGAAGACACCTATGATCAGTGACCTTCAGCCTATGCGTGTCCCCTACTTTTATAGACTATGCTTCACAGCCATAAAGTAGAACAGATTAGACTGCTCTGCAGCATACACACATTTTAGTTAGCAGGTGGACATCTTGCCTATGCCATAAATGACACAAGCTGGCTAACACCAATCGGGATTTCTGAATCTGCACAGAGATTTCGTCGGACAACCCTTCAAACCTAATAAAATTTCCAAAATAAATCGTGTGGTTGACACACTCAGCTTCTTCAGTCCCAACCAATAGTTCAGGTGTTGACGCAGACCCGTCCCAAGACAAAATTTATACATTTATATGGAAAAATAATCTCACCCTCTGAAAATGTCGCGATTGTTCAGCCATTGTGTAAATCTGTTTAATCTAGAACTATTCCTACTGGTACACTTCTTGAGACGTAATATCACTAAATTTAATGCAAACGTACGTACGAGTGAAATGATAACATCTTAGTTTCGTGTAGAGATTGAGATGCTCCTACAAAGTATAACTCGTAGAAATCTACTTAAATTCTTGGCTTACTGCTGAACATCTAAAGGCGCCGATACTGATGAAAGGAAACGCCTCGGTAAAGTAATCGGAAGGATTAGCGTAAGGTCTAAACCTACTTATTCTCCACTAATTTGTCTTATAAACCCAGGCTTTATGTTTGGTATTATTGCCCCCAAATGCCCTGGTACGACCGAGAGTGGGGAGAGTCCGCTCTCCCTCTCGAAATGCTCTCACATGGCCACGCGTATATAGCTCTTGCCAGGGAAGTCCTACTCACTGCCTTCTCGTGGCGGGTTGGTGGATACAGAGGGTTCACCTAAGGGGTTGGAAAACCCTGACTCCAAACCAATGGTGTACATAGGATCCTGAAGGAACAAATGGCGTATGAACCAGTTATTGGTGACCGGCTACCATGGGACTGTATCTCCTTACGTTGCTCCACTGTCTTGTGGGTCAGACCTGTAGGTCGAAGGTTCCGGGTGTGTCCCCCTGAGAAAAACACCTGCTTCGGTTTGGGCACCCGGGCAGTATCACAGCCCTCACACAAACCGCATTTGATTTGTGTGGTGCATATGTATCTGGTGCCTCCTTGTACTAATATCTATGTGTTCAAATAAATAAATAAATAATTGGTATTATTATATTACCAATTTTGTCAGTAGGAAACCGAGTTTTAGGATGTGATGACTTCCTTCGAGAAACTATCACTTACAAAAGACCCAGTTACATCAAGTAGTATTTCATGGTTAAGTAGACTTATTCGACAGATCACTGTGCTGCTTATTAAGCTGTGGCAAGTCTACAATCTACTGAGGTCCTAATTTTCCACGTATATGACCTTAGCGGCGATTTCTGAGGTCTTAGGTAGAATTTGGGAACTGGACGTAATCCCATGTGACTGGTCTCAGTCACTGATTGTGCCAGTCTATAAGAAAGGACAAAAGTCCTCTTGTGACAATCACAGAGGAATCAGTTTGACCAATATAGTGTCTAAAATATTAGCTTCATTAATACTTCGACGCCTAACCAAAGCTCGTGAAGAGCAGATTAGAGAAAACCAGGCCGGTTTTCGACCTGGACGTGGTTGTATAGATCAGATATTCACACTACGTCAGGTTCTAGAACACAGACACACATTCAGACGCCCCACAATGGTAGTATTTCTCGACCTTAAGGCGGCATTCGACTCTGTTGATCGTGAGGTTCTATGGCAGTGTTTGTCACTGAAAGGAGTACCAAAGAAGTACATTAACCTTATAAAGGCTCTCTACTCGAACACAACTGGTAGAGTGAGAGCTTATGGCGAACTGTCATCAGATTTGGTTTCCTCAAGTGGTGTTCGTCAGGGCTGTCCACTCTCCCCATTCTTGTTCAACTTTGTGGTCGACGTACTTTTAGAGATAACACTTTCCTCATCTAAATTTCCAGGGGTTGAACTTCTACCGGGAGGTTCACTTGTTGACTTAGAATATGCTGATGACATAGATTTATTTGGCGAAGACGCTCACAAAATGCAGAGTCTTCTGACCACTCTAAACAACAATGCAAACATGTTCGGCATGCAATTCTCTTCCTCGAAATACAAAATGTTGCTTCAGGATTAGGTTGCATTAACACCCGAACTAGTGATAGGCAGTGAAGTAGTTAAGTGTGTCGATCGCTTCACTTATCTTGTAAGTCTCATCAGCCCTTGTGGTCTGGTGTGTGACGAAATCTCAGCACGGATACAGAAGGCTCGACTAGCTTTTGCCAACTTGCGTCATTTATGGCGTAGGCGAGATATCCGTCTATCAACCAAAGAACGGGTTTACTGCGCAGCAGTTCGTTCTGTCCTACTTTATGGCAGTGAAACATGGTCGGTAAGAGTAGAGGATATTCGTAGATTACTAGTATTTGATCATAGGTGTCTTCGAAACATTGCTCGTATATCCTGGGACCATCGAGTAAGTAATGCAGTTGTTAGGAAACAGGTACTAGGTAAGGATGGCAAATCAATTAATGACGTAGTGAAACTTCATCAGTTGAGATGGCTGGGACACGTGTTACGTATGCCCAACGACCGACTGCCTCGACGTGCTATGTTCAGTGGTATAGGAGTAGGTTGGAAGAAAGCTCGGGGAGGCCAGACCTAAACATGGCACAAATCCATAAAGTCACTGACAAGTGAACTGAGCCATGTTGGTAGGTATAGACTAGCTGGTTGGGATCCGCGAGACGATAGCAACCGATTTTTAGAGACCCTGAATGACATGGCTCAAAATCGGTTGCAATTGCGCACGTGCATCCACTCTTTGTGTTCTCCCAAATTCTAATCTGAATTCTTCATGTCCCTTTCTTTTTTCTGTTTCCAAACTTATTCCACTAGATTATACTCCTTGAATAACATCTTCAAACCCTAATTTTTATGATTACAGCTTATAATTTTACTACATCTAGCACTACGGGATTTGAATCGACCACTGCATCTCTGTGCCAATGTGGTGTGGCAACTCGAACTGATGTACGTACGTACGAAGTTCTACGTTGTAACTGACTAGCGGCGACTCAGAGAACAAATTCAAGCTCTTTTTGTAGATCATCAATAATGGACTTTAAGCTATTCGCATTGTAGACTATGTTCTCGATCTTATAGCACTTTTCGTATCCTATCAAGAATTCAAGTTTCTACCCACACTTCTCAAACACGGTGTGTGTCTTAAGGTGAGACAAGTAAATTAACAGCGATAGGCGATAAAAATTTTCATAAAGTTTAAAAGATAATTGATTTTTTAGAACTACAGGTCCTAAGTATAATGAAAGTAGCCGGCTTTCTGTTGTCTCTCGAATAGTGACTTCATCCATAGGACGACCTCTATAGAAAATAGAAGCAGAATGTTGGCTACACAATATTCCTTGAACTATAGATACTGAAGTGAAAGTAACCATATGTTTAAGTCTTGTGATGGTTTAAGCTTATTGATAGAACACGGATGATTAAATCGATCGTTGCTGGTTCGTTTAAATTTCCTCCAGTATTAGTATATTCTCAGTGCTAGCAGTCTAAGTGGGGTGACTATGTTTGACTTGAGGTTGCTTAAAAATTCCAAGTACAGTTTGTGAGATAGACTGACCAGTAGCACAAAGATTGTGTTTAGTAAGAATTCCAGTAAGCGCTTATATTAAATTGAGGGTGAATTTCTCAGTCTACTTGCCATCGATTGTCCTTTATAGCTATCACATCCGAAATCAGAATTAGGTTATTTTACCAACTAGAGGTTTTTCGTGATTTCTCAATTCTTATCACAAGCTAGTATGGCTGCAATCATCTTTATTTTCCCATTTTAAAGATAGCATTCTTCCATACTTCCAATTCACTTTTTCTTGTGTAGTGTGTGACAGGTAAATAAAATGTTTATGCCAAATCATTAATTTACCCAAACTACCTAATCCACTAATCTGAAGTGATTTTACTTGACTTCCCAATAGATTTCAAATACAACTGTATTTGTATCTAGTTATATAACCAGTTCATTTTCGAATCTTTTCATTTTGTTGCCTTTTTTTCATTTCAGGGAAATAGGTTACAATCATATACCTCACTTGGATTTATATTATGTATTGTTAAAGTGATTTTGATAACACTATTACGTGTCACATGTTCAGTTTCTTTAGAGGAATATGACGAAATGGTATTTATGTATTCATTAACTAAAACCTCTCAGGCGTATGCTGTCCCTACAGAAAGCATCGATATTGATTTGTTTCTGAAATCACATTCATCATATAATAAGTACACCACTTCCCAAAAGAATCTGAACGCAACTGTTTTAGCATATGTAACGCCTGTAAGTGACATTATTCTGTGTTAAAAACCAGATATATAGTGGAATAAACTAGGATACGAAGTAGCAAAAATATTCGGTGCTAAATTCAACCTTATTGCTCCTGTGTGGTTTGAAGTCCAAGGTGAAAAAAAGGCATATACAGTTACTGGGATCCCTGAAATTAACACTGGTTTGATTGACATCTTTTCTGGATTATTATATTTTCTCAGAATGGCTTAGTGAAATTCGCACTGTGAATCCTGATGTAAAGATAGTACCTCGATTTTCCTTCGGTCCATGGGAAGACCGAGATTATGCCGCAACTTTAAATGATGTTCCTAAAACAGATAAATGTATTCGAAATGTGATCAATATTTTAAAGGTTAGTTTTTGCTCATAATTGATTGGTTCCTTTTTCCCTCTGGAAGCTGTGCTTGACTTGTTCTGTTGTCAGAATGTAGTGTGCACTATTTTATTCTCATAATAGTGGAAGAATCTTTGTTATTGTTAATGAACGGAATCTTCGATAGCGTTCATATTTCATCGGATAACATATGATCCCATGACCTATTGATATGTAGTATTCGCCTTGTGTATCATTAATGAGTGCTGCATATGACCGAGTTTGATGACTATAACAAATGCTAGCTCTTTATTGACAATTACAATTAAGTAAAAGGTAGTAGGACATTCAGAAGCTCACTATGGGTAATAGTAATGTCTATTTATCATTTCGTTTTGTGATTATTCTTGTAATTTATCTCCTCTGTGAGACAACTTCAGTTATGTTATTAATTATTTGTTCTCCATCACACTGTGGTTATACCGTTAGCATTCCTTGCACTAATATTTGTATGCATTTCATCGAATGCTAATTTTTCGCTTGATCAGCGTGGTAATGACAAATAGGAAATGTTCCTCTATTATTATATACATCGTTAAGGCCAGTCTAGTTTATGTATGTGACAATCATCTGAGTATGAGTTTACCACCAGCTGATCGTAAAATGATTACTGTTGAGCCAGAAAAGGCACCCTTAGAAGCAGACTTAGGTAAGAGGGTTACGGAGTTATCTAGTGAACTGATACAGAGGAGAGCAAGAAATTAAAGTGATAAATGATCTATTAAAATATAAGTTTATGGATACCGAAAATGACTGGCATTTAGAATTTATGTAAGAAAATATAGTACGATTATTCCACAATGAAAATCTTGTGATAGCGTTTATCGGAAATTCGAATGGAGTGTTATGGATGACGTAATTCCCAACAGGATGTTATTTGCTGTGTGACTTGAGAATGTTTAGCACTGCTTTTGAAAATATGATGTGCGTTCTTTTCTTTTGGCTCACCAAATTGTCATCTGCGTTTCTTGTCGATTGAGTCAGCTCTGTTGAGTTCGTTGGCCGAATCTATAGGGTTCGTAAGGTTCTTCGTCGATGTGGTTCTCCAGGTTGCGTTAAGTCCAAATTAGGGCTTACCAGTTTGTAGAGACTGTTCTCCCAAATTTGACTCCGAAATTTAATGACCCGATAACTGTGTATTTTAATTCTCTTTGTATCGCTATTGAATTCATTTAGGAATATTCAGAAGCTGAAACACCAGTTACGTTTGGAAAGCGTGTGTTCTTAATATCTAATTAAATTCATAAGTACACTGGGGAATGTGTGAAGAATCTATCTGTATTTTATGAGTGCTGGTCAATACATGACTAAAGTTACTGTTTTTCTGTATTTGCAACCTGTGGGAGAATAGATAAAGATTAGGATTCAGATATGCTTTTAATCAAACTGTAACATTCGTATAAATAGTGGATTATACGTCTAAACTACAGTAAATGAGTAATCGAAATATAACAGGCTTTTCTTGGCCTCTCTTGTGACCTTGGAAAATCGATCGTACAAATAAGTTGATGAAGGCTTACTAAAACTGTCGTTGAACGAATCAAATAGTAATTATCGCTTAAAACGGACTCTACGGAAGCAGGTTGATTTTTTGTCAGGTCGTAGATACGCTGTCCACTTCTCAAATTTCTGTTTAATGCCTAAATACTGCCATGCATTCACAAGAGATCACTGGAATCTTAAATATAGGTTCTCCAAATACCGAACATATTAGTAGCGTAGTTTTACAGCGCCTTAGATTTGCTTGTTGTTTTATATTCATTGTGATGCAAAAGTTGAACCTGGCAATTTTAAATTTCACCATTGACATAAAATTTGGAACACAGCCGTATAATTGCCTGGTTTCCAAGAGCAGAACAAATCTATTTTTTACCTCTCCAGGATAGACGTTTTTCACATAGTTTTGTCGGTAATAATATAAACACCTGAAGCAATTTTGTGCTGTAATTGAAAAAGTCTGGTTTTTTTGCTATTTAACTACGATATTAAGAGAATTCAGATTGATATAAAACAGATCATAGATAATAGGCTAGAGAGATAACTTGTGTTCATTTCTTGTTTTAAAGCAGTTTTTAAAGTTGTTATAAGCATGATAGCTCTGAGTAACTATTTACTTCTTACCCCGGATTCATCACCAGCTGTTACCAACGATCCCACTTTTCAGTTCATGGTTCATATTTTGTAGTCAATTTATGGCAGCCATTCACCATCGTTTCTAATCATCCACCTCACTCCTATTTTGCGATAGTTTCAAATAACCTTTTGACTTTTCACCCTGTAAACGAATCGTTTTTGAAGAATATATCTTCTTCTGTTCCTAATTTTTCCTTCATAGAAATATAATTTTGATGGTGCAGTCATAGAAATATGGGCACAGTTCTCTGGTGTAGAATTACAATCACTAATAGATTTTATAGTACGACTTTCTGATAATTTGCATTCAAACGGCAAGCTTTTTGTGCTCGTTATCCCACCTCCTGTTTACTATGAGTAAGATCTTTTATTTTGTAAATGCATGCATTATCCTAATTAATCTGGAATTGTTAGAGGCATAGAAGGAAGATTTAAAGAAGAACATTTTAAAATATTGGCCGATTATGTTGACTATTTTAGCTTAATGACCTACGACTATTCTTCACCTCATAGGTGAGTTTGTCTAAATAATAATTTCGTATATTTTTATCTTCTGAAGTCTGGTGAAGTCTAATTAATTATTCATGAGTTTGAAGTTTTTTTCTTGCTGGAAAATGAGTCTTAGTGCGTTTCATATGAAGTTTAACATTCTGAAAAAAGATAAAAAAAGTTAAAGGTATTTCTAATCACAAATGTTTTCAAAGCATCTTTTTTGTACAATTACCATGGCTTTTATGGAACGTCGCTTCAATGAAATGTATGACAAAGAATCCATATCACCACAAAAGAAACTTGAACTTTTTCCTTCTGCGCATGAATGGATTCTAACAATTCAAATATGAATAAATACGGCCTAGTTTAGTAACCGTTCAACTGATAATGAATGTAAATTTTCGAAGAATTATGTAAATACTTCTAAGTTTATCAGACGAAATTTTAAGATTGACCCATGGAAGGAATGCTTGTCTTCGTAAATTTATTCCGTCAATTTTACTTGTAATTTGTGCTTCACAGTCGAGCATTTTAATCATTCATCGATCGTTCTTCATCAACACGTGCTTCAGTAATCTGAAGCGTAGTTCTGTTTTCTATTGGTTAATGCCGAGTTACTCAACCTCCAAAACGTATATAGGCCTTCCAAGTGAGTAATTGATCCAGTACCGAGCAACCTTCATCTTACATATGTCCTTATTTATTTCTTATTCAAGTAAACATCTACTTGTGTATTCTTATATCTCCCATCAATTCTTTACAAATGTAATGTCTTTTCAGCCTTTGAAATTTTGTCATCAATAGGCTATGTTCTATAAAAATACAAAAATCTCATAGTTCGAGTTAATACATACTCGGAAAATGAATAACTTTCCACTATCCACTGTAATCCGAGTCAGAAGTTTCAAATGAAATCAATAAAATGAATCATTGATATAATGTTCTTATAATACAGTATTACTGTTTTTTAGTCTAATCAAACTAACCGATGTGTTGTTACCATCTGACTATTCATTTCGCTTGGTTGCTATATTTATAACGTGCATAATGATTTTGTTTCACTTCTTGCTGGTAGGTCGTACGTTTAATGATGATTTTTAAACTATAGTGTACACGACTCTGTTTTGGTTGTGTAATTATTATTGCTCTTCTTTTCTCTATAAAATATAACAGACCTGGGCCTAATAGTCCTTTGAGTTGGGTAGAAGAATGCATTAATCGTTTGGTTCCAAAGAATTCTTTAAACCAGGCAAAATTGCGTAAACAAATTTTAGTGGGTTTAAACTTTTATGGAATCGATTACTTGCCTAAAAAATTAATCGGTGAACCTATTAAAGGCAATGAGTAAGTGTTTTATTTTCCTCTGAAGAATTTCCTTTTCGCTTCATTTTGCTGAAAATGTTTATTGATTTTATTGCTATCCGGGAATGTTTCTCATATCATATTCGTCAGTGGGACTGTGTTTCATTTGTCTAAGCTCTTTACTTCTAACTATTTAATCTACAAATTTGATCCTCAACCTACCCACTCTGACTCAATAAATTGAACTAACCAAATATTACATATTATGAGTAGTGCAAAGTTTAGTGCGTCGACTGTGAATTTACTTTGAAGAAAGTGTAAACAAGGATTTAAGCAGAATAACATGAATTTATTTTATTTATCTAAGTTGTCACAAGCTACTACAACCTAGAATGTTTTAAAATCAAAATTATACATAATGGTTAACGTACTTAGAGAAGTGAACTGTGAATGTTTCATTTCTCTCGATGTGTTTTAATAGTGCCTAGTATTCTTTGGACAGAATTATTAACTTCAGTGTTGATAAAGTTAACGTACTGATTATTTATATCAGCTAATTCGAATTTAAACCAAGCTTTCTTTTCCGTGTTCACTGTTTATAAATCCTTCAAGTGGCTAAATAAATTTTCAAATCGAGCCATTGTATCATTACTATCGGTAATTCCTTTTAAGATATAGAATTCAGATCCTAGTGGTAGGATATTCGTTTCTACCTAATTCAGTTTCCCACCGAATAAATTGCAAATGAATTCCTCAGGGTTTTCTGAAGAAACCTCCATGTGATTGCTCTCCTATTAGAGTCTTTGACAGAGATCTATGGAGATTATAGCATACCTTTCTTGCAGGACTATGGATAAGACTAACGCTTTTTATCTGGCACCATATTAAAATCATAAACGAAAGCCGACATTCATCATAAAACCTTAGGTTAGTCACTTCTCTAGATATTCTGCTTGCTAATGACTCGAACTATGTGTATGAAAGTTTTAAAAAAAATAACTTTTCAAAATCGTTCATGTCACTAGGTTGCTTGACAATATTGACCTCCACAATAGTTGGTATCGCTAACTAATACATAACTTCAGCCATACTGAAGTTAATAATTCTGTCCAAAGAATACTAGGCACTATTAAAACACATCGAGAGAAATGAAACATTCACAGTTCACTTCTCTAAGTACGTTAACCATTATGTATAATTTTGATTTTAAAACATTCTAGGTTGTAGTAGCTTGTGACAACTTAGATAAATAAAATAAATTCATGTTATTCTGCTTAGACCTTTGTTTTTGCTTTCGTCAAGTTAATAGGGAGAAGTATCTTTTAAAACCTCGATTTACTGCTCAGTTGTATCAGTAGTTTGATACATATTTATTGTTCTATCCACTAATTTGACCATAGCTAACCTAGTAATTATCAACATATTATACTTTTCTTATTAGCTCAGTTAAAGTTTATCATATATATTGGCGCTCTCTTGTACCAATATTTATGTGTTCAAATAAAATTAAAAAAAGTTTATCATTAAGAAGTTTCCAACCCAGGTTGAGCATAATTTTTAGTGCTCATCATCTATACTTACTTTTAAACTAAAAAATATGTACTGTCTGTAATATGAGTTCTAGTGATAATACAGGTAATCCATTTTAACTAAGCACGGGTAATTGGGCTTTGCTTCAAACATGTTCACATTAAGGGTTAGTGACCGAACCAAAGTAGATATCACAATCCCGAGGTTGAAAGTCGAGTTATGTTAGCAATAATGGATTGCTCTACATGTCCTTGTTGGTCAGACTATTTCAAATTTACTACCAAGCTCTTTCTAAACAAATTATTCAACACATGAATATTTAAAAGTATACTAATAATATGGTTTAACTGAACTAAGATCACCGTTACGGTTGTGTATACTAAGTGCTAAACACGAAAGTACAAATATTATAGGTAACTGAGTATTTCAAACAATGCCTAGCGTATTTTAGAATAAGTTTATCTTATTTTGGCAGCCAAATAGTTTCACCAGCCTTCGCACGAAAAATATAAATAGAAAAGTAGTACATAAGCCTATACTTAACAAATGAATTACATTATTAGTATGTAGGTATTATGTTTGCAAATATAAAGTCTCATTCAGTTTTATAAGCTTCTGTGTCTCCGTTTTAGGGGTCTAAAATTATCAAAAACGTCTTGAAATGGATACTTGTGAGCTCATTACTGGCTAGCTTCAAAATGAATTTCTGGTGTTCTTAGTGTGAAAGCGTGATCTATAGGGGTAATCAAGACGGAATCGAAACAACTAGATAAAAACCTTGGTGTATCACAAAAGTGACTGAAATTGAAAATACGGACCGTTGGCTTCCCGCCCAGTGGTCCGAATAAGTCATTTTCGTCCCGAGACCTATATATCCTGAGTTTGATTCAGCTTGGGATGGTGGGTACTCTCTTATAAAAACAAGCAGTTTTTTAGTTCTCCTTGGCATTAAGTGAGTCTTCAGCTGATGCCTGCTTGTAATGACAACCATTTCATATATTTATATATCATTTTTTGTCCGATTATGTAAAGTTAGATCAATAATGTTGGATACAAAATCAGTGAACCTCATTCTTACAACTCTTCAGTGTTTTTGCAAAGATAACTATCAGTGAAATACCTCGGGTGACTTCAATGTCACTAACTTCTAAAGCCATTTTTGTTCATTTATAAATTGATACTGTATTTTCTTTATTCTGTTGTTTAGTGTTATTGAAATATTTGAGAAGTATCAACCGAATTTTAAATGGGATAAAAAATGGGCTGAACATAGCTTCTCTTACAAGTAAGATTATTTTTCTTCTCTTTGCTCAATAAATTCAGTGAAACAATTACCATACGACCGTCATTCTGAAAATACTATAAATTTTTCATCCCTATATTATATGAGTTCAAACTTTCTAAACATTCCATCATTATTTGTGGAAAAAACTTATAATAGTAAAACATTCTTAAAATGGAGCCTGAGACGTCCAATTCAGCAGTCACTGTCACCTTCACTTGGTGAATTTTTATCTAATTTAGTGTTGCTAATGTCATTTATCGATCTTAGTTCCTATGTATGCTTTGAATTGGTCTTTAAATTGTTCCTGTTTAGTACATCCATTTTCTTTTTTTTTCACCAGATAAAAAACCTTCAGTGTTCGCCTTTTTTCATAAGGTTTCTTTTAATTCTTGAAATTTTTGTAAATCCTCTCTATTCTAAATCGCAGTTCGAGGTATGGCACCCGTTCTCTCATTCGTTGATTTTTAGTTTAATATAGTTGGGAAGGTTCAACCTTCTAAATAAGGTTCATTAAGGGTGGAAAATTGTTAGTAATTTGAAATATTTAACCTTGTACTTTGGCTGTTAGTTAATATCAATAAAAAATATGTCTTTGAGTAACATTTCAAGCTATTTAATCAATATTTTCCCTGTTCTGTTACAAACATGTTTATTTCATTCTAACCTGTTCGTTTTCCGTTGAAATTGTTTTAGAGTACTGCAACTTTAATTTATTCCCCGGTGTTTTTCATCACATTCCAGTTTCCGTTGTTTTTGTCTTTCATTCTACTTTTTTGGTAAATACGTTATATATTTTTTGTAGGGATAAAAAATCGCAAGATCACTTGGCCTTCTATCCTACCTTGATGTCGATAGCACAACGTTTACAAACTATACTATCCAGAGGTACGGGTGTTTCTATCTGGGAGATAGGACAAGGACTAAATAGCTTTTATTCACTGTTCTAATGTAAAATTTTACATACCGTCATGGCATATATGTGCACTTTTTTATCTTTTGGAAATATATTTTCATACATCGAATTACATTCACTTTTATTGTATATAATGTATAGACATACTTTCGATTGCATGGTGCTGTTTTTTTTAAACTAAGATTTTATTTATCTTGTTCCTATATGTAGTTAAATTTTACTGGCTTCATAACAAACGGTTTACCTTCTAGTTTATTTGTCACAAGAGACGATATTTTCACACTTAGACATGACTATGGTATTCGGTTTGAAACTAGTGTAGCGAAAAAATGTGTACACGGGGTAGTAACGACTAAGTGACCGTGCATCAAATATCTCTTATACCTGAAACACCTAACTAATAGGCTTTAACTAGGTTTGTCATGACGTCACAATGCTTATCGTCTGACAATGAAAACCAATTCCTTGAAATGCTTTGTCTTGAGCTCCATTGAGTAGTTTAGTTATAACTTCAGAGTATAAGGACTAAAACAAACATGGAAGTAAGTCTGTTATTCAAATGTTCCAAACAGAAGGACCACATCATGGGACGAGATTATGGTTTCAAACTGATACTAAGGGTTGAGTGCTACTTGTAATAAAATAAGGATTTCAGCTCAGGAGTTGGATTGGGTATTTCGTGAGGCCTTATTCACTGTATTTCGCACGGCAACTAATGAATTACATTTAATTTGGACAAAAGTTTTGCAGTTTTTCTGGAGATTATTAAATGTATGCTCACAAAATATTTGAATATAGCAGGCGGTTACTATATAAGTCCAGTGTAAACAAAAATTTCTTATTATATGTTGAGTTCGTTTTCAAGAGTGCAAGGATATTATGTTTAACTAAATAGCAGATTACTTATGCCTGTTACTCCCAACGGAGTAGATGTTTGGTACATAATTTCCTCATGTTCTAGTACCATACGTTCACGCGTGTCTCGATCTTTTACTATCCTTACGATTGATATTGGTGTTACAGTTCTGTCAGTCCTATTCTGTCCACAGTTTGGTAAAACATCACAGATTCTATTGAGCAAAGTGGGGACATCATAACGGGTTGTTAATTTAGAAGAAATGAAGGGCGATAAATTTATTATAGGTTTTCACATCCCCGTGCACCCAGATTCAGGTTTGTGTAGTAAGGACAGAAGGCCTACGGCCTATGTTATTCCTTTTCTAGTATGCTTCTGTGAATGTCCAGTCTTTTGAATGTGTGGACACCACTGCTTCGGGCAGCAGGTTCCAAGTATTGATGACTTGATGTGAGAACCTGTATGCCACGGGTAGTTTGTTCGTTCTTGGCTTTTCTACTCGCTTGCTATGTCCTCTGAGATGTCACGATCTAGTGGGAAGAAAAAGATTAAGTTAAGTCTAAAATCATTTATAAATATTCTGTACATCAAAATTAAATCTCCCCTTAATCTTCGAAGGGACAGAGTAAAGAGGTCCAGCTTTTCAAGCCTCTTTGTATGGTAAACTCTGGAGTTCTGGAATTGCACGGGCCGCTGCCCTCTGTACTTTTCCTAGGATGTCCGAGTCACCTTTTAAACAGAGGCTTTCAGCCTGAACACAGCTCTCAAGCTTAGTCCTCAGGATGTGTATTTTGTGATGAACATGGTAGTATCTAACTTAGTGGATGTCCGTTTTAAAGCCCAGAGGGTCAGAAACCCCTGTAGCTACGACCTCCCGGCAATTGGCCGTCATCTTAAGATCATGACTCACTGTCACCCCTAGATTCTTATACGACCGGAACGCGAGTAATGGCACTTCCCCTATGTTGTACCTATTAGCTTTTGAATCGACAAAGTGCATATAGACACACTTTGCCGCGTTGGTAGGTATCAGCCATTCTTTAGACCAGTTCATCAATATTGATTCTGCCTGGAGCCGAAGTTCGTATTTGTTTTTAATGCCATAAAGCAATAATGAACAGTCGTAATCCCTACCGACAGACTCTGTAGTCTTCTACTATCAAGAAAAATGTAGTGAAATATACTAACAGACTTTGTCCCCGTACATACTGTCTATGTGATCGGATGATTTTAACGAAATACATATCCCACCTAACCTCGTAAATATTTATCGGGTTAATTTGCGTTGGTGAAATGCGGAATAAAACAAGTCTAATGCGTAGGTGATATTTAGATACATACTACGTATATCGGTTACCGCAGACAGACAGGAGAGGAACGAGGTGGGTCAGTGACATAGGGCTCATATAAAGACAATCAAGGCTACAAACGAGTAGCTGACAAGGTCAAATATGCATGAATAATAACCTAAAATGAGTGGGATGATTGGTCTATCTACAGTCTAGAAAAATCCTCGTGTGGTGTGGTGCTGATGATCTAATGCAAGGTCACGGTTGTCTATACAAGGTGCTACTACACATAACTCGTTTGGAGATTGGAACTTTTATGTTAACACGAGATATAATTAATTTCTTACAGCTGTCACAGTTTTGATGGATTTATAACTCAAATGGTTCTTGTATCAATAGTTCTAAGCACAGAATAGTCACCATATATCAGTCCTATTCATAAATGTTAGTGTGAGGTAAAGAGGACTCCCGAACTTAGAAATATATTCACTTGTAAAATGTTTTGCTGTAAACATTTAGGAAATTTTATTCCACGGAGCAGTCAACATAGAGAATAGTAGAAATTGAACACTATTGCGAAGTGTACTGAACGACAGTTGAAAATAAAGATTATTAAGCTAGATAAATTAACATAAGCGAACACTGTTGTGTTGAGAGTCAGGTTTTCGAAGCAAATACCTATACCCCATTACACAGCAAAGTGGGCTTCAAAACATTAAGTCACTTATCTGATTTTTGATTTTCAGTTTACGGAAGGCTCAAGAAAGTTATTTTTAGTTTTCCATTGTCTGATCTGCTGAATGAGTCGGTTATAATATGTATTATAGTTTCCTGTGGTTGAATCCAAATTGAAAAAAATCCAGTATATCGCGGAGATTCTGCTTGCTTTTTGCATTTGGTCTCTTTGATTGTACCCACTTAGTGCTCAAACTCAGTTGGAATAGAAAGAAAGCATTTAGGACCATTTCTTAATATCTGACATTTTATAAAGTAATAGCACCTTAATTCACTGTGTGAATAGGTCTAGTCTCAGAGTGAGTCAAATATATTTGTAGATGATACAGCTGTCTTCAAAACTCTTGCCAACAGTTCTTGTTCACCTTCGAAACATAGAATTAGATTTTTTTCGATTTGATCATTGTGACGGAAGAAATACGCTGAAAATCCCTCCAACGCATTTCATTGGGTAGTGTTCATTTGTTCATTTTCCCTGTATTGCATTCTAATATTTAGTCAGGTCTCTTCTAGCCACACTTGATGTTCTTCAGTCTCCTTTGTCTGGGTTTTTATTGTATGACTTTGGTTAAAGTTTTGCCTCTCATTACTTACTTTTACTGTTGTTTGTTGCTGGACCACTGACAATAAGGTCTTGTTTGACTAAAGTCGATGTCACAGTGTGGTCCAGTATATGATTATTAAAGGCTGCCTGATTCCAACGATGTGAAAGTTCATCCTAGCGCTTATCCCATTCCGAAGCCATTAACAGAGACTGGTTAGCCATAAACCATGGTCTTCAGGCAAGGGGGATTCTCCAGTTATGCAGGCCCAAGGTATATTTATTGTTTCTATTCACCCTAAACTTCTGGCAGCTTACACAAGTGCCTGTCTACTCCCTCGCATATTTATTCCTATCAGACCAACGAAATCGCTCTTTTATGAGCTTGATGGTCCCTTAAGTACCTAGATGAGAGAGCTTGTGCAACGTCTTGGAGACTTTTGTTTCAATACTATAAGCTTATCCCATCATGCAACCTTTATTCGATAAGCCGAAACCGGAGTTTCCGAACTGCTTGGTCCTAATGGCCCGACCAACAACGACGATGATGTCACTGACCGTCTGACAGAACAGCACTCTCGGACATTTCAACCAACCCACACTAACTTTACTGATGAAAGCTTCAACTTCACAGGACTTTCAGAAGCGAACCTGAGCAGTGACGTGGGGTACTGGAAGCTGCAGCACTTAAAAAAAGCGCATCTCGTCCGAATATGGTCCATTCTTCTATACTGATGAAAAAAAACCTAGGAGTGTTGGTACCTATCATTTGATGTCGTGCGTTAACTGCGACAGACTGTAAACGTTCCTCCTACTCCTTAGGAGTAGTCAAATGCTGAGATCTACAGCCGGCTGAGCTGATTCCATCGACTTCTCAGGAGTCATTTAAGAGGAAACTTGACATTCTCAAGGAATAAGGATAGTATGTCACCATGAGTTACCAACTTTTTTTTCTCCCCTCTTATTGATAATATATATATGTTTCAATGCGAAAGCTTCATCTATTTCATCCAAAACCAGTTGCCGCTGGATTTGAGGTTTGTCGTTACTGCTGTTTATTTAGTGATTAAGTTATTACTGTGATAATTACCGTTTCTGATTACATTATATAAATTCAGTTCATATTCTGAATTTTTCATCGCATGTTATAAGTAGTCTTATTATTGTTTTACACACATCTGCTCGCTGTTTTTAAAAGTTTTTTGTTATAAAAAGATTCTTCATAGTTACATAAAATGTAATTTTGGGAGGAGATGTGTTCGTTGCGCGCGTGACTCATTTTAAGCTTGTCCAAACCAACGATGGACTCAAATAGACCATATTGCCATCATTCATGGTTGGAGAGGGTCGGCAGAAGATTGTCGCTCATTCTGGAGTACCTGCTTGGACTCCGACCATGCCCTAAAGCGAGCACGCATCTGCTTGCGCACCACTAGACGCAAAAAAGCCCCAGTAGAAAGACCAATTAGAACTTAACTGAGCAGCGAGAAAACCAAAAGTAGGTTCCAGGAACAACCGAGGTCACACATAGACAGTTCTGAAAACGAGGTTGACCCTGATGTTGCTTGGAAAGCTATACAAACAGCTGTGGAAACCGCAGTGACACCTACCAATGATTTAAACTACAGGGTTACAAAGAATCAATGGATTTTCTCAAGGTCTATTGCACTGATGAATTCTCGTAAACTCATCCCATCAGGCTCTGAACATGATGAAGAGCGAAAACAAATCAGATCTAGGTTAACCAAAAGTCTAAGGAACGACCGTGAGCAATGGTTGGCAACGAAAGCAAAAGAGATGGGAAAAGGCGGTGGTTATAGGGAACACAAGACAGCTCTACAGACTAATAAAAGAAACTGGAATTAATAAGTCAAGTGTAAGTCAGACTATTTCGGAAAAAGACGACACTTTGATCTGCTCCCAGTCCAGACGTTTAGAACGATGGGCGGAACATTTCAGAGAACAGTTCAACTGGCCTTCAGCTACTCTACAACTACCCTCCATTCCCAGACAGTGTGAATGGAATATTGAAGTAGGTCCCCCAACTTTAGCAGAAGTTCAAAAGGCTATAGTTAATCTGAAACGAGGAAGGGCAGCTGGTCCAGATGGATTGCTTCCAGAGTTTTCTAATGATGGTGGTCCAATTTTAGAGATTAGGTTGACTAATATTTTAGCTAAGATCTGGGAGTTAGACGTTATCCCATCTGACTGGTCACAATCACTTATCATCCCAATATATGAGAGAGGGTCAAAATCATCCTGGGACAACCATAGAGAGACTAGTTTAACTAATATAGTATCTATAATACTAGCCTCGATAATTATCAGACGCCTAACTAAGACTCGTGAACTGCAAACACGAGAGACTCAAGCTGGCTTCAGACCTGGTCGTGGCTACATCGACTACATATTCACCATTCGTCAGATTCTAGAACACAGGCATACTTATCGACGTCCGACGATGGTGGTCTTTCCCGACTTGAAAGCAGCATTTGACTCTGTAGACCGCGAGATTCTGTGGCAGTGTCTGTTTTTGAAAGGTATACCTCAGAAGTGCATAAACCTTGTGAAGGCTTTTTACTCGAACACTACTAGTCGAGTCAGAGCTTATGGCGAACTGTCATCTACTTTTGCAACCTCAAGTGGTGTCCGTCAAGGCTGTCCACTTTCCCCATTTTTGTTTAACTTCATCATAGATCTACTGATGGAAATAACGTTCTCGTCGACTGAATTCTCGGGTATTGATCTCTTTCCAGGAGGTCCACTTATCGACTTAGAATACGCAGATGACATAGTCCTGTTTGGTGAAGACGCTGATAAAATGCAGTCTTTTGGTAGCACTGAGCAACAATGCCAGAATGTTTGGAATGCACTTCTCTCCCTCGAAATGCAAGTTGTTGCTTCAGGACTGGCCTGCGTCAACACCTGAACTAAGGATAGGGAACGAAGTAGTCGAACGCGTTGAAAACTTCACTTATCTTGGAAGTCTGATCAGCCCTAATGGGTTGGTGTCTGACGAAATCTCAGCACGGATTCGAAAAGCTCGTTTGGCTTTTGCCAACTTACGTCACTTACAGCGAAGGCGAGATATCCGTCTATCAATAAAAGGACGAGTATACTGCGCGGCAGTCCGTTCTGTTTTAATTTACGGCAGCGAAACATGGCCATTAAGAGTAGAAGACACTCGTAAGCTACTAGTATTTGAGCATAGATGCCTCAGAAATATTGCTGGCGTCTGCTGGGATCACCGGGTAAGTAATAGTGAGGTTAGACGCAGGGTATTAGGGAATGATGGTAAATCAGTCGATGAGGTTGTGAATCTTCATCGACTGAGATAGTTGGGCCACTTGTTACGTATGCCTGAACACCGATTACCACGACATGCAATGCTAACGGGTGTTGGATATGGTTGGAAGAAAGTTAGGGGCGGCCAAACCAAAACGTGGCATCAGTGCTTGAAGTCACTAACTTCTAGTCTGAGCCGTGTTGAGAGATGCAGACTACTTGGTTGGGGTCCGCGTGACTATCGTAACCAATGGCTGGAGATTCTTGGTGACATGGCTCAGAATCGATCACAATGGCGTCGGTGTATACACTCTCTGTCTTCCTTTAAACTAAGAGATTAAAATCACTTCATATCTTTCTTTCTACGAACTAATTCTTTCTTCCTGTACTATATCCTTATATGCAATCTTTCTTTTATATATTACCACTAATGAATTAACTACTTTTATGAATCCGGTGTCCATCTTGTTGTGCTAGTGAGGTATGGCAACTTCGACCGATGCATATTTGTGCCTGGTCCTACGTTGTAGCTGACTGAAAATACCTACGAATAGCCCATCATACCCTAAAGCCTTTGGTAGCAGCTGCCTTGTAGTCGCTCGTAGTTTGATGTCACTGCTTATTACGAGTCCTAAATCTTTATAGTCCATTATTTTGGATAACGCAACTCCACGCATTGTGTAGTGATACAAATCATATTTAATTGCATCAGCACACTTGTTAGAATTCAATTCGAGTGATCATCCTCCCAACCATACCACCAGTAAATTTAGATCATCTTGTAATACTATTCTATCTGACATACTATGTATGGGTCTCCAAAACTTTCTAGTTTTAATCTAAGACCCGAATGGGTGACCTCGTCAAAGACTTTATTTAGATCTATGGAAATTACATCTACAGGAATATTTCCGTCTTTTGCTGCAGCATAATCTTCTTTTGCAATGAGCAGCTTTTCAAGCATGATAGGTCTTTTCGAAGGCCATGTTGTTCCCTGGATAAGAGATGATGCCATTTCACGTAGTTCATTACAGCCATCTGTATAATCTTTCCATTAGATTGATAACTCCACTGGTTATACTAATGGATCAATAGTTACTAACTAACTCTCTGCTCCCTGCCTTATGCACCGGATTAATTATTGCGTTTTTCCAGTCTCTTGGCAGTGTGGACTGCCTCAGAGACATATCGCACAGTATGGCTATAGGTCCAGCAATTAGATCCGATAGGGCTCTCATAATCCTAGGTTGCATATCGTCAGGACCACTAGGCTTATCAGGTTTAAGATGTTGATGTAGTCTTAGGACAGCACCTTGCTCAATAACTATAGGATCCATCAACAAACCGCCCGTCACAATTAATCGTTTGTCGTTCCTCATTGCTGATAGAAAACACTTTACCAAAATATTTTGGTAAAGCTTAAGCTTTTTCGGCATCAGCTCTTGCCAATATCAACGGATCTTCTTGCACTAAAAGTGACGGAATCCATCTCTTCTCTGAGTTCGCCTCTTTACATACGAAAATAACCGTACCTAACAATTTTTAAAATCCCTAACCAATTGTTCTTCATATAACTGTCGAGTCTTACTTATCAACGCTTTACAAGCATTCGTAGTCTTACAACAACTGGATCTGTATTGTTCTAAGCCAATTGAGATGAATATATTCCAGTACGTTTTCCTACGTCTAAGAAGTCTCTTAACTTGTTTAGTTATCCATGGTGGTCAGTTATTCGGTTTATGTGGTACTATGCATGGTGTAAACGAGGACGTAACTGAACTAGGCTTGCCTTTAAATATAGACCATGCTTCTTTGACTGGTGAGCTAGTATCTACCGACCAATCTGTCTTAGTAGCACACTCCTGAATGGCTGATATGTTAGCTCTCCATACATTTGGGCGAGGCTTAACCTGACCATAAATCATGTCACTAGCACTAAATATGAGTGACAAAACAGCGTGATCGCTATTCACCACCGGTGGAAGAATATCTAGATTGGCAATATCCTCAGTCGTATTAGTGATTACCGAGTCGAACAAAGAAGAACCTTGGTTTGAACCAAAACGTGTGGGTTTGGATACATGTTGTACTAATGTATGCTTCATCACCGTTATCAAGAACCTATTATCAAGGTTTATAGATCCTACTGTGACCATATCAGTCCAACTAATATCAGGTGCGATAAAGCCTCCTAATATCAAGCATCTGTTATTTGCACTCAGCTGAATGTGATCTAAAATAAAGTCATCAGCTAAGTAGATTGGTTCACGATAGATGACACCAAGTATGAATGTATAAAATCTGATAGTGAGCTCACAGATAATGACTTCACAAGTTCCACTATCATGGGATTCGCAGGCAAAGGGGTGGATATTTATATTATCGGCTACGTATAAAAGGACGCCACCTCCTTTCCTACATCTATGTCTATCACTTCTTAGGTAGTGGTATCCCGATAATTCTGGAAAAATGCCAAAGTCGTGGACTAACCAGGTTCATAGAATTTGCGAACGCTATTCTATAATAAAAAGCATGTATGTCTTCACTAAACATCAACATGTTCGATTTTCGGTTTATCATGAATGAAAGATAAGTCATAAGAAATTGATCGAAATCAATCTCTGCAACGTGTATGTTGATATTACACTGAATCCTCAGTTTCTATTTTGTCACCGGTCGTTGTATTGTGTATTTCACAATGCTTAGTAGTAATGCCTGTTTCTGCATGAATGTTTTATTGCACTTCTCGTTATTACAATGAATTATTATTACACAAACTCGACTGTTGTTCAATATTTTGTTTTAAATTATTTCAAATTATATTTTAATCAGTTTATTTTATATTGTGTGGATTTTTAATGCATCAGTCACTATCAGTTTTCTAATTCCTTTTAGATTCATTTTTTAAACTATTAACTATCCCTCTAACAATGGCTCCTGTTACCCTTCAAATGTATCTGCAAGATGTAAGTTATCCGGCAGTGAATTAACTAAAAACTTCCAGGTTACTAATTGTATCAATAATCGAAACGGTAGAGGATTGAGTGTAAGTTTTTAAAACGGGAATTTATTATTTTATGCACATGTAAACTAGCACTACCTTATGTGTAGTGATCCTCATGTATATAATTCTCGTCTAGCAGTGCCAGACCCAGAAAATATTGCTGTGTCATACCTTGTATCACCTTGGGATGAGATAGTTTCTGCTCATGTGAGGTAAAATAAAATAACTAACCGCGTAACTTGTAAAACAACCATTTTCAGATGTATATGGGCAATGCGTAACCGTGATTTCGAAGAAGCCTATGCTTGTCAAATAGTATTAGTAAAATATCCTTTAAAAATTATTTATCAACCTGTAGCTTAACAATCTTGATAACTAAACTTAAACCAGTAGATCACAACCTCAAGTCCTATTTATTATACTCTTTTGAATATCTAGGAACTAATGAGATAAATGCCTAGCTGATATTCTGTTTCACTAAACTACGTGTGTTTAGCAAGTTTCAACTTTTTTCGTACTTAATTCCATCGTATACATAACAAATGTTTACACTCAATGCGCACCAATCCTTGGGTTGTGTTATAATTCACTGAGAACTGAGGAAGCTGAGCTCATTGATTTGAGTATTTTGCCTTTAACCAGTCAATCTTCTGCTTGCAATAAAATTCACTCAATGAAGTTTAGGTAGGGTAGTTTTGTCACCACCTCTCGTATATTTATTCCATAGTCTATTGTATTTATCTTTGAATGTCTTAGAAGTGATTCCTAACAAAATAGCTTCACATGTTTGGCGAATGATATGAGCAAGCTTATTTATTCCTTTTATGAGTAAGTGATTAATCTTCCAACACTGAATATGTGCAATTGTTATTTAAACTCTTGTGTTTCTACTTCTACACTCAGTGTGGTTCTTCAGTGTATTTCGTCGAGATTATTTCTTGTTTCCAATTGCGTAAGAAGGATTTGAAGTGGATCTGTTTGGGCCCGAAAGAAAGTGCAATTCAGTGGCCTGAGACGTTATCAAACATGGCTCAGAATAGAAATCAGTGTCGATCATGCTGTAATTTTTTACTGTTTTTCCAAAACGAAAGAAACTTCCGCAATTAAAAGGGCTCTTTCCGGTTGCATTTTTATTAACGAAACTGGTTTTCGCACTATATACCACTCTCGTTGACTTATTTTTATCCATTTTTTAAAAATAATACTCACCCTTCTTCCTCTGTCTCTTCAGAATCTCATTTTCTTATTATATAATCCATATTTATTGCGGTGTTTATCTGCACCAATATTTACCTATTTAAACAAATCAGTGTGATAAGCAATCATGAACAAAGGAAAATACAGCAACATGATTGTTTCATTTTTACTGTGTGAAATACAATTGGGAAATTATGTTAATTATTCCTCTCCAAAAAGGAGTTTGGTCTAATTTAGAAAAAAGATGCCATTTTCTTACTCAGTAATAAATTAAAAAGTGGATAAAATAGTTTCAAACAATCGATTCTTAATAAATCGTAGAAATAGTTTATTTATTCAGTTCTTTTAACGGATTGCTTTCGCCTTAACTTTTGATATTGATAACATTTTGCGAATCTCTGATTAAACGACTGTTGCCAAAGCACTCTCTGAATTAAAAGATGACAACTGGATTTTACCTGTTGTACATGTAGCTGCTATTGATTTAAGAAGGTTCGCTCACGGTTTGGACTCAAGATTCACACCACAATCGGATAGTTTTCGAAATCAAGGAAGAAGGATGGAAAATGCTGCTCAACTTATTTTAAGGCTATTTCAAATATGTGCAAGCGATAGGTAAGTATTTTACCAATATGAACTATAATTTAGTTTAAATGGGTTTTCATAGTATAAGGAGAAATTGTCAAGTCCTCTCCTCGATTATTGGTTTTATTTCATATCAATAATGCTAAAAAGATTCAAATCTAAATTTATAAAACAAATGTTAAATTTAGTAAGACTATTGGATAGGAAATAAACAACTAAAAGATAGAATATAGTACCAATTGAAAACCCCAGGTTGAACAGAAGATGGATATAGATGGGCGACGTTAGTTGATAATCGTGACATGTCTCTGTTGAGAAATACAATATTCCAGGGATGTTGGATCTAGATCAAAAACTTCTTAAAATCCATGTTTTAAATTTTTTGAATTGAGCGTTAAATATTGAATATGATGTCGCAAAACTTGCAGCGTTAGTGCTTGATTCTCAAAAGTTTCGCAAAATACCCGTCGATTTTACACTATCGTTGTGGGGTCATAATTTAAGATTGTATGGAGTTGTAATACGTTGTCTTTTTAGGCTTTTAGTTGTAATATGTTTATGAAGAAACTATGTAATTCTTTTCCGAAACTACTTAGTTATCTTGTATACATAATAAATTTGCATCACAATCCACATTAGTTCTTGATCCAGAACCTGATACATGTAGCTGCGTACTTCAGTGAACTGTAAATATTATATTTTTCAGTAGCAATTATTGAGTATTGGTTAGCGACTGATACTATATCGTCTAGTTCCTAGTTCTGGTTGTATACTGTTTCTGCTGCTTTGTGGCCACTAATTTAAGTTATTCGATATCTTGTGCACTGTCTAGATAATAAGTGGCTATACGCAGTCTGTAGGGTGCTCTGGATTTACGCCTTATCCACTTTTGTCCGTAGTTTGTTCAAAAAACTGATCCCTGTTTTGGGAGTTTAACCCTCGTCAACTGGTACGAACTCTAAGTCCACTGTTTCCTGCTAATAGCCTCCAACTACTTAATATCAAAATTAAGTTTAGTTTCTTTTTCTCTACTTTTTGTAACACCATGTTGCCTCTATATACCTGACTCTCTTGTTGAATTCTTATTTTAGTCGTGCACAAGTTGAAGATTCGAAAAAACTGGGTATGATGGGTTTAGCCAATCAACTGTTTAAAATTTACTTCCAGGTATGCATAATATTTGACAAATAAAACGAGAGAACACTTTATTTTATCCCTACAAATTATTATTTAGATTAACAAACTGAATTTATGCAAATCTATGATCCGCGCAATCGATAATTTAAGTATGAATGATCATTTTAGTCTGGCACAACGTGTAACGTATTGTTATTATGTTGGAAGAAAAGCAATGTTTGACGGTGATTTTGTGTCTGGTAAGTTGTATGAGAATTTATTTGAGTTCTCAACATGTATAAATTACACCTACTTTCCTTAAAAAAATTCTGCTTAAGTTAATGTTGTTATCGACACTAATGCAAATCATAGCCTAACACTAGTCATAATGATTTTTTCGAACCATTTATACGCTCTTGAAAAATTCTTAGTTATCCTTAATAACAGATTAAGCAATCAGAAACACACCTGCATTTACGATTCTATGATAAACGAATTCCATGAAGTGCTAAATTTTACTGAACGTAGTTATTTAGTTTATAACTTACATACTAAGTTAGATGACAGTCACATTGGGAAATCGTAACACAAAATCTATTTCTGTTCAGATCATCATGAACACCTTATAGTCTAAATAGTATGCAATTATAGTACAATATAAAATATTTCGGAAGAAACAGTGACTATGTATCTTATCTTAATATAAGTACATAAACTACAATTGAGTTACCGAGCTCTATTGCCATTAAATCTTATACAACAAGTTTGTCTCAATCTACTTACGTTATGTCGACTCCATGTTTATCAGTATTATAGGTTACGTGATTATTTTATGTCCTTTCTAATGTTTGTTTATGCTTTCGTTTAAATTTCAGCCGATAAATCACTGACTTTTGCTTTTGAGCGTTGTTTAACGACGAAATGGAATAACAAACGTTTAATATTGATTTATTTAATTCCTGTAAAAATGTTACTGGTAAGTTGTATTTTTTACTATTTACTACTTCTTTTTTCTTACTCGAATATCTATCCTCATACTTGCTGAAATCTGAAAGAATATCTACTTTACTAGGTGAATTTTTGTGCAGTTGGCTTCCATCCACACTATAAGAGTGATAGCTAATCATAATACTCAATTGCGTATAACGAAATAGGTTTAGTGGGGTTTGAACCCTCAGCTTAGTGGCTACAAATAAGACGGTTCAACGATTAAGCCACTGCCTCACTTCATCGTTCAATGCTGAAGTTAAAAAACTAATCAATAACTTGGTCGATTGGTCTTCAAGTGGTCTCTTTTTGGGCTAGATTATTTTGTTAGAGGTCCAGTATTAAAAACTTATATATGAAGCAAATACACTAAATGACCATATCACTTAGTTTAACGGTTCGATTGAAACCAATAGTCAGTAAATCTCAACGTTTTAAACTCACAGCGTTACCAGTATTCAGTGATTAATCTTTTGTGTACTAATCAAAGTATTCATAGCATTGTTATTTTATTACACATATGACTGAATTTTAAAAAAAAACTTTTTCTCTTCTCTGTTTAGGGAGTACTACCCAAAGAAAGTCTTTTATGTAAATATAATTTGAAACAATTCCAAGACATTGCTGATTCAGTCAAGTAGATTTGGACAAAAAACTCGTGCATTAATGTTTTATTTTATTACCCTATAGAACAGGAAATTTACGTAAAATGGACTCTGCCTTAGAAGAGCACGAAGCCTTTTTCCTATCTTGTGGTGTATATTTGATATTGGAAAAGCTCAAGTTGACTGTTTATCGAAGTTTATTTAAACGAGTGTAAGTTTTTTTCATTCTTCTTTTTTATTTTTGTTATGAATTTTTCGGTTTCCATCTTTTCTGTTGTTTTTCTGTTCTCTCATTCAATTTTATAGTTGTCATATTATGAAGACACATCTACTACCGATTGAAGTGTTTACAGCTGCACTACGTTTAATGGGAGTAAGTTTTTCTTTTCTACTGCCTGTAACTTATATGTTTTTGATTGTTGTCCATAGTTTTTCTTGAGGAAAAGGCATTAATATAACCGAATGGATTGGTCTGGTAATACGGATAAGTTTCACATAAAAACATACAAATACACAGCCAATATGATAACTCGCTTGAATATTTTGTCCTATTGAACCATGAGAATATCAAAAGACAACACCTGATCTGTAATTGTGAAGAAGAATAATCCATTTAAACTACTACTTTTCATGTACATTTTTTATAAATCTAAAATTACAGTGGCAATATGATTTAAATGATTTAATACTGATTAGTACAACGCCAAATTGTGTTTCAGTATAAATAAAATCTAGAATGGATAAATTTTCACCTCATCAAATAACAATAGTCTAGTATGTTTACTTCTAACCTAGCCAGTTCTTGTTGGAAATCTAGCTATGTCGAAGACTATTTTCATCATACAAAGGTATCCATTAGAGAAGTATTGAATTGTGTTTCTTTCTGATTTCCAGTTTATTCATAAAATATATTTGCTAAATGGTTTCTGGAATGGACCTTCTTTTTCCCCAAGATTTTCAGAGTAGATAAACTTAATTTAAATCAGTTTGTAGATATCGATTACCAATAATTTTCTACTACTTACCTGTATAATACATGCATCCATCTCTTAAGTTATCATCTGTGACTATTCATTGTTCATGTTACCTGGTAATTCACGTAAAGGTCTCTAAAATAATTCACTGATAAACACTTATTACTGATTATTCATTTTGCTCTAAAACTAAATTAATATCAGTTGTTAGATTTCAATCGTGTAGCGACTACGTTTCTTCTAAAAATGAAAAGTAATGTATTTCATCCTGGAAGTGATCAAAAAATGTATCGCAGTGGCTAATCTGCTACTAGTATATTTATCGTGTGCCGTTTTCATTCATATCAGCTGGTGGATATTTTTTTTTCTCAATCTGTTTTCAATGTTAATATGACTGTGTTGATGCTAAGGTTCCCAACCATAATCACTTGGTTCGTTGAAAATATCTATTCTTCTTAAATGATATCCAAAGAAAAAACTTGTTAATTTCACTGACGTGATTTATTCATTTCTGTTAATTAGTATTTAGTATGTCAGTAGCTATATTTCAACTTCCATCATACCATACACAATGTACATGTTCCTAATTCATATGACATCTTGTTTTAAAATTACATAGACTTTATAAAGTCCTCAAACTAGACGTTTACTTAACAATTTGTTCAGAAACTTTCAAATAAGTGCATAATATATTTAGTATGATTGTTGCATCTTCTATAAAAAAGGTTAATTTTAAAGTCGAAACTAATCACTTCATCACTAAATGGCTTTATTGTACAGCAAAACGTCGAATTGAGGGATTTAACTTGACACACTAATATTATTATTCACTGAACAATTATTTCAGAAAATCGTTTCATTGTGATAAACACAAATGAACAGTCATTCGATAATATATAACTTTTACTTTTATCCTTGGTTAATCATTCGTCGTTCTATGAGTAACTTAGTCAACAGACTATCGTGATTAAATATTTTAAGCATAAGTGTCAGCTTAAATTCTTTTAATATATGTTCATACATTCTCAGTCAGTTCTATCATTTGAAATCTTTTACATTAAGATCCAAGGATCGGTCCCGCCACTTTAGTTACGTTATTGAATCTATCAAACTTGCATGATCTTTTTAGAAGTCTGATTAGTTCAAATCTATTTACTATGTAACAATTTCTTATTTGAACAGGTTGAAGATATAGATCCAGACGAAACAGAGTGTATTCTGGCCAATCTCATTCATGAAGTAAGTAGCATCTAATACCATAATTCGAATTTTTTCATCTTGTTTAATATATAATCACTTCAAACGAGCTTTTCGAAGCAAAATTCATGAGTATAATTAAGAACTGTGCTAGCTAATGGGAATGTTTCATTTCATCTCCATCCACGGAGTCAATATGAGTAGGAGCTCAACTTTCATCTAAACCTTACATGTGACGAAATCATATGACAGTATTTAAATGGTGATAATGATCTTTTGCTGGCATATTTCAATCGTCCAGCAATGAAATCTTCGTCTTCAGAATAATTTCCTACTACTTTTGCAGTTATTGGATAAATAATTAAGCTCGACAGGGTATCCTAAACCAAAACTTCGTGCTATTTGGTACTTATCACCATGGTGTACCCGTTATCTTCAGAAGACAGGTGCTTCCCAATGGGTTCGACCATATGTCATTCAGCTTCCTAGTCTGAGACATTACCACTGAGCTATTCGGGCTGCGACTGGCCTCCTGTAGGACTGAGATATTTACGACTGATTGATCACTGGGTAGTGGACAATGCCATGTTTGTTTAGTTCTTTTAGCGCTGATCGAATTTTACCGATTGGGTTATAATATGGGTGACATGGAATCAAATTTGCCAGAGGGTGTCAGCCCCTTCGATATTACAGATATACCTTAATAATGAGTGTTAAATAATACAAACCCTAGGTCGGGATTTCCTGTTGACTACCTCTAACCAACTAATACCTCAGCATAGTGTACACGTTATTCAGTCACCTAGACTAGTGGTCACATTGCTATCGATGGAATTTACTCAGCACCAAAAGGACTAGAAAAACATAACGTTAGTCACTACTCAGTTCATCTAATTGGTCTCCTAAAATGATATTATCTACTCAGATACCTAACATACTTCAAGAAATATATTGGTTAATGACACGAAAACTTCGAAACAATCAAGAACTATCATTATATACCAAATCCATAATATAGCCATAATTTATCTTCGATAAAATATAGTCTATATCCCATTGAATAAAAGGAAATATTATATAATTCCGTAACCAAGATTTGTATACTCGGCTTTAAGTCACATCTTTCTTATGATAATCCATAATGCAAACTAAAGCAGACGACATGAATTTCGAATCCCCAACTCAATGATCAGTACTAGGCTGCTGTAACTGCGAAGACAGCTTTTGATTTATGATGTGAACTACCTTTTTTAGTGTTTCTGTATTCATGTCACAAAAATTTAAAAACATTCAAATCAAACATCTATTTCTCAAATTTCCAAAATTCAAGCAGAAGTTACATGGCCAATTAAGTACAAAATACCTAGTTTTATATTCTCAAATCAGTTAACTCATCTATCAAAAATATCTTTCACAAGGATATTAGGTTTCCCATTTCAGCCATGTAAAAATACTGTTATCACAAAATTAAGTCTGTTGTCGTACAAATCACACAGTCAAACTTAAGTGAATACCCAAATTGCATTTGATTGAGTTCTAGACTTGATAAAATTATCTACTTCTAGGTCAAATGGTCCTTACTGGCGCAAACATCGTATTTTAAGATTTGCTCATAATTATCCTACACCCTAACATCTAATACAATGAATGATACTTACTGAAGGGTAATATATTCTTGTTAGGAAATGTCAACACATTGATAATTTAGTATTTAATGAGAATCTTGAATTGATCGGTTACGCGTAATTTGAGCGGCCTGAATATTTCCATAATAACACCTCTCACTGCGAAGCTGAGTAGTGTGTATACATTTAAAGAAGAAACATGGGTCCGTTCAAGATAGCAGATACTGTTTACTGATAATTTTAGCGATAAAACCGACATTATTTGTAGAATAACCCAGATCGGCAACAATAACTCTTTTCTCACTCAGTTTTCGGAAGGAACCACCTGACTCATAACTGTGAAGAATCATTATCTAGTAAAAACACAACTTGATATGCAGTTTTATCTAACCAATCCAATGTCAGACGAAAAATTCTCAGAATAATGTATACTGATCAATTCGACAACAATACAAATTGCCTATCAAGGTTATCCACACTACGTAATAGGCTGGATGCACTTTGAAGTAGGAGAAACTTCTATTGCATCGGACTTAAATTGTTAATTTGTAATTTTAACATTAAGTTTGAAAAGTAAATTTGGAACGTTCTTCCAAATAACCTTAAATAGTCAACGCTAAAACACACCATTTTGTACATTATTTTTTCTTGTTTGTAGGGAAAAATCAAAGGTTATCTGGCACATCAACAACATAAACTAGTTGTTAGCAAATTGCAACCATTTCCTCCGCTTACAAGTAGTATGGCTAGCAGTTTAAAATGAACTTCTATCCATCATACTGGATTATCTCATCAATGTTACTATTTTATACAAACAAATATTTTGTACAAAGTTTACCAAATCTAATTGTAAAGTGTATAAATACATTTTTTTCATGATTAGTGTTCTCTACTACTGTTTGTTACTATAGTTTAGTTGATATCAAAGAAGTGGAGTTTAGATTGTTAATTCATGAATTTAAAACCACTTCAGAGTTCATCTCTAAACAATATTTACAAATCAAAGAATCATTCGTGAACTTTTACATGAGTACCACGTAGTATTCTATTAATATTACTGAAATTTTCGAAGAACCGTAACATTGTTTTTACTTTGGATTCAGTGAGAAAAATATTCATATAGTATTAATGAATTTTGATGCCAATATTTATGTGTTATGAACATATGTAACCCCACATATCTAGGAGTTTAAGAACTCAAGTAAACTATGTAACAAGACATACTACTCTGATAAGTTAAAGCATCTTATCACTATCATCTTCATTGTGTTTCACTTCACTTACATTAGTGCAACGCTATTTCAAACAAGTAGTATCATTTATTTGTACATATTAATAAATGTGTAGAGGTATGGCTTGATGGTATTAGAATTTGATTCTCAACCAACTGAAATCATAATCTCAGTAGACTTCATCTATCTTGGTTTAGACAACACGATTCTATCTGTAACCACAAAATACGTACTGATCTAAGTGCAATGTTTGTTCGTTTGTACTTGATTATATAACAATTACTCAAAATGTATCTTCAGACTTGAAGCACAAAAATTCCCATGATTATTAAACTGGATATTGAACAAAAGCGTGTAAATATTTATGTAAGTATATAATATCCTTTATATTAAACAAAAGCAATAATAATTAATTAACTGTACATGGAAATTCTGTGGATAATATGATTTCAAGTGCATTCAAATATAATAATAAAGTGATTTATGCACTATTCTTCAAAAAAAGTTTCAAATTTCAGTCTATTGTAAGAAATTTCAAAATACGCACCACATATTTTTAAACAAGATTTAAAACGAAACCAGTCATAATGACTGTCCTTGCATTACGAATAGTGCGAAAGGAAGACATGAGTCGTGTATCTATGTTTAGTAGAGTGAGATCAAAGGAGTGTGCAATTAAATATTCAAAAAAAGAGAAAAACACTGTGCACAGCTATATTATAAAAAATATATAGTTACTAGATAATAAGAAATAACTTTTTTTTATATACTGTGTGTGGATATTCACAAATGTATTATGAAAAAGTAAAAATGGAGTAAATAAATGATGTACATAGAATGTTTCATCCCTAATATAAATCACAAATCTCTGTATTGCAGTAGAACTTTTGGTTTCCTAGGCAACTCTGAAGAAGATTCTAAAGACTGATGTTGTTGCGTTTGTTGATTACGATCAGCTTCACCTATCATAGAACTGAAGAATTGTTCTCGTAATAAAGCGGATTTACTCATATTCGATGTTTTATGATGGTCGAATATTGGGATGGACTCAGTACAATTACTAGCCATACTATTTATATTATAACTACTATTCGTTGATGGCATAGATTTTTGATTGTTTTCGGATTTTGAACTTGTATTTAACCTAAAAGCAATAAAAAGGTTTAATAAGATACTTTCAGTCGAATTAAATTAGTCTTTGTATAATAATTATTGTTAAATTTCTTATTTCCTACTGCATGACGAAGCCTGTCAATAGGATAAAATTCGATCAACACTAAATATTAGACACTGCTGTAATAATGGTTGTTATTTAGGAATAACCGATGTGTACTTGATCTACTGCAAAACATAGCCTCAATCTATTTATCATAGAAGTATCATGTCTGGCCGCATCATTGACCGATACTGGTTAAAGTCGCCATGGAAACGGAAGTGCCTTGGAGATTGTATATGTATATTTTTTTGATAAATAGTTATGTGATTTATGTCCAAGATTCTATTCATTTAAAAATAAATACAGTGAATTATAATATTAAGCCACCCAGCTTACCGACAAAATTTGATTTCGGCACCCCTAAAAAAATTGTTATTCGGTAAGTTGTCAACAAATAACCTTAAGGAATAACCAGACAAAGTATTACGTTTCTAAGATAAATTAATAAAGCAAACAAGATGTTTCAGACTAGGGTGACTGACATCAGTCAAAGTACTTAATTTTAACAGAAAATAATATTCACAAATGCAATTAACTCCAGAATTTTTCTACCATCTATTTCTATAATATTCAGAATAAAGGGTTTTTAGCTTAGGAGTTTGTATAAATTGTTAGATTTGGTAGTTTTGTATCACTTGTTAATCTTAGACAAGAAATCAAAGCCCGAAATCGTGGGCAGCTTTTTTGTCCTAGTAAGACACTCCTCACTGCACATCCACGGTCCCACTACACACCGAACCTAGAACTATCAAACCTCGATGCGATTTGTTTACCTGCAAACCACTGGGGTTACATAATAGAACGAAACAATTGTCTAATAATCGTTGATTTTGTTAGTTAGGCTCAATCCGTGATATGAAACTACAGACGAAAATTTATTTGGCTATTCATTTTTCACTAAATTTCTCTTAATCAAAAGGTAAATTTGAGGAATACGGATTCATTCTCTACAAAAAATGCTAACAGTTAAGGATGAAAAGATATGCTGCTCAAATGTTCCTCTCATACTATTTTCCAGTTAAATGGTCTAACAGACTGCTATCTAACTGTGACCAAATAAAGTATATTTCAGCCTAACATTTTACCATCACCTAGTTAATTCTGTCATACTTTAACAGATCACTTACTCGAAAGATTTTCCTGTATGTTGGATATAAGTAGGGTTGTTAAAATATTTGGAATTATTCAATCCAACGGTACCACTACTGGTAGGATTATCATCACATCTATTTGTCAATGGACTGTTTATTTTTTGAGTAGATTGACAACTATTAGCATTACTACTAGCCATACTATTCAAAGCACGTTGCACGTATATTGGATCATTGAGTTTACTGTAACACAACGATGAGGATCTGGATAGACATGGTTTCGGTGAACTTGTACTGATATTAGTTGGTGCTAAACAAGACAAGAAAAATAAATTAAATTTTCCAAATTATATGAATTATCCAGAGTTTTGCGGTAAGATACACTATTGAAAAATCAAAATTTTTAAGAGTCATGAATATTGTACAGAAAATCTAGCTAGTCAAATTAGGATACCTTTGGGCGCTGCATAGTTTACGAACAGTTCATTTTAGCATGATCAGAATTAACAAACAGTTTAAGACAAATGAAATCATTTCTTATTGTACAGTTCACTTCTGAGTTAGCTGTTAAAACCCGATGATGATAATAAAATAATACCTGAATATGATTGTCTAACTCATTCATTCCAGTAGTAGATCTCATCATTTGATTTATCTACTTCAATTTTAGAAAAAAAACCATAGAAATTTCAGTTAGATAAATCATGGTTAGTTGGATATAACATTTCAACTGATATACATCTCTATCCCAAATTACATAATCTCTGTCACATAATAAGAAGCTGATATCAAGTTGTTTTCTTTTTTCTATTTGTTTATATTTCAAAACAGTAAATGATATAATAGAAATAAAAAAGGTAACTTACTGTCTGATATAATGTTTTTATGAATTACAATATTTGACTCATCAGTAGTTGCTTTAATTTGTACAATCTCACTAATTTGTTTTTCGCATCTTTCTGTTGATGGAAGATTTTGACTATTCATACCATTACTACTACTATTACTACTACATATTGAACGATCATGTGAATCATCATTACCTAGAAAGTATTTCAAATAGAAGACAAACAAATAGTAATGTGTATATCGTTAGAAGTAAACTAATATATATATATATATATATATATATATATATATATATATGTATATATATCTATATTCTTGGTGGTAGTTGAACTCCACTTAATTAGCCTTTAAACAACTATTTCAATATTCTACTATCTAGACTGAAAAGATGTTAGCTAGCGGCTAAATGTACTCTTTATTTCATGTATAAACAGTTGTCAGATGAATAAAGAATATATGAACCATCACAACTATCTATCCAACTTAATCTTAATTCATTGTTACGAACAAAATCTACTTGAATGAGACAATAGAAAGGTAACTAATTGAGGATTTAAACTCAAACTTACTTAATTGAGCATGAAGTTAATACATAAACCAGATAAGTTTTTTTGAATATAACCTTTAATGTTTGATTTCAAGTCGTTTCATTGCTCTTACGTAAAGACAATGTTAGCAGATATATATTGACAAGACAGACAAAAATGGGCTATTTCAGTTAAATGTCATAAATTAACTCTGTGATCGCCTTACATAATTATGAGAATAATTAGATTTCAATGAATTGATGTTGAAATGAAAGTCTATCAAGACCTTCAGTTGTTATTATCCTACCTGACAGTGCGATTAGTAATCATTATCTTTGGGGTCAAAAATCGAGAAATGAACTTGTTGATAATAGGTCAGCACACAACTTGACATAGTGAAATCTCAGTTTTATGTATTGAGATAACTGACAAAAATATCAAATATGTGATGTTTTCCCATTTTGAACGACGAACTGACATTAGTTAAACCACCATAACTGCGCACTCTGGAATCGGGCCCAGGGAGAATTCGTGACTTGTAGAGTTCAAACATCTCGATTATGAGACAGATATCCACCACAGGCGACGGATGAGGATTTCACAATATCGTGAATTGATTGAATTTACCCATTATCAGTGTTGGATGCCGGCCCAATGGTTTAGAGGTTAAGTGTTTGCATGCGTGAACGAATGTCTTTGTTTCGGTTCTCGGGTGCAGAGTCGTGGATGCTCACTGATCAGTAGTCCCATACTAGGACGAAATGGTCATCTAATGGTTCCACATTTCCACTAAAGGTCTAATTAAGATCAGTTCGTAGTTTAAACTATGAAAACTCTATAATCTCCGAAAATCCCTTATACTAAATATGTGTTCCTCCGAATGTATATCTACTCAAATGCATACGCAAATCAATGAGCGTATATATATAGTGATTACCGGGAGTTTTTTGGACTGACTCAGATTCA